AATGTGAGCATTCTTCTGACCTATTTTTACCAATTAGAAAAACAGTTTTCGTAAGACTTGTGTGATCAAACCTTAATCTAGTTAGAACAACTCTCCCTCCTATTTTTTCTCCTAATACCCTGTGCATTTATTGTTTTCTGTAATTTGTAATATAATCAACCCTTATCATTCCTTTTCCATCTTTCTTGCCATTTTCTCACTATTCCCTTTCCAATTATTGTTTTTCCTTCCCCTTAACAGAAAGGGACAGCTACAATATTTTCCTTAATTGTTGCATATATTATCTGCTCCTTTTTTCCTTTTAAAGCCAACATGAGGTCCCCAACATAATCTTATATCTTTACCTACTCTATGTAATCTAAACAGGCTCTGATACATTTCTAATACTAAGTCTTCTCTTATTGAGTTTATGGATTTTATACTGAATAGCTCCACAGCAGAATTAATACAGTTGTTCAGCCCACTGCAGCCCTATAATTACTGCCAACGTTTCAGCATCATAAACCGATAAATTGTTGCTCTTTCTCCTATATGTTAGTTTCCATTTTTCTTATGTGAATCCCTATGCCTACTTTGCCATGCTCCAGAACCATTTGGGTAAATGTCCAGAAAACTGTAGTATACTATACAAACTATACTTATATATTGTTTTCTCCCATTCCTTTCTTAATTGCATTATTTTGAGATCAACTTCAATGTTTGGGAATTGCCATAGGGGGAATAGCACTTACAGGGGTTGGGAAGATACACATGAATGTCTCTCTGTCCATATTCCTCTGCTTTGATTTTAGCTCTCCATCCAAAACCATTATCCTTAAATTTATACTCCCAACATTTCTAAATGGTTTTAGATTAACTAAAACATAAATAAATGTAATTGTATGATTTTTGAAACAATAATAAAAAATATACAAAAGAAACAGCCAAAATATTAATTGACAACACTGAATTAATTCAGGTTCATTAACTTAAAACAAGTCAAGTCATAGTAGACAAAAAATTAACATGGAAATACCATATTCCGACAGTCTAAAGACTTCTATCTTTCATATTGTCGGTGTGCCCTTAATAAATGTTCACTGAAATACAGATCTCTTTGGAATAATCTACCTCCATCACTACAGTTAATATCTACCTTATATATATATATATTTTTTAAAAACATCTCAAAAGGACTTTAGTTAGCAAAGATTCATAACACTTCTTGTATTTCACCTGGTAAAATAAAAATTATATTTTTTGCTTCTATCTGCTATTCTCTTTTTAAAGTATGATTATATTTACTAAGGGGAGGTATCTTTATTAGCCATTTAATTGGCTTCAAATCTCTCCTGCACAATGTTATATTTCCTTTAAATTCTATTATAACATATACATTTATTATGTAGATGTACAGATAATAAAATAATAAAATAAAAACACTCAGTTTGAGCTGGATTCTCGTCCCCACAACCCTGTGAACGGATCCAATATGTCAAAGTCAAAAGTCAAAGTCAGCTTTATTGTCAATTACTTCACATGTATATAATACTAAAAGTAAACATTCAATTTCACAGCAGATAAGACATTTACTAATGCTAAAAAGATAAAGAAAAGATGGACAATAAAATATAAAATATACAATAATATAAAATATACAATACACAATACTTATGGTAGTGCAAATAAGGCAGTTGGTAATGGCAGCAAAAACATTATTTAGAATTCTGTAAGATATATTGAACATTAACAGTTTTTTTTTAACTTTCCGAAAATATTTACAAGTTCTCTCAAAGGGAACAAAAATTGCAATTATACAACAAAACATTTATCATCTCTCAATTACCACAAAAAATGTAATCTACAAGGCTTTGTTAAACAATTATAATAATAATAATAAAAATAATGAAAAAAAATAGCTACAACAAGGCACAAACCAAAAAACAAATAAATGCAAGATTACAAATCAAGGCATCCTCTCTAAAGAGACACTCTGCACACAGCAGCCTCTATCAGCCCACGAATTCCTTCATATTCATCTGCCAGTAAACCCAAAGCATCACTGAACATTAACAGTGCAAAACAGCAATATGCATATCGATTATATCCGCTCTCAGATCTAAAGTGGAGTCTCCCCTGACTACCTGCATTGGGACAGCGTCGCCGTGTGGCCGGAGGCTGGAAACTGTTGCCACAGAGCAAATTGAGACAGAAAAATGGCGGAGCTCAGGAAAATCTGTCCTGAGTCTTTGCCCTGTCGTGTCAACAATTCACGAAAACCGTCATTTCAGGGGAAGCTTTTCATCCTTCTTTGCATACTCATAGTGGACTCCGGCGGAGCTACGACCCACTGGGTTGTCACGGAGGATGGAAAAATTCAACAACAAGTATGACAGTCAACGTTACGGATGACTAGCGTGTGACTGCTATTTGTGTTAGCATGGACGCTAACGTATTTTGGTGATGTGGTTCGTTCACGTGTGTTTTCGCAGTTTATTTGAGCACACCGAGTTGTCGGAAACGTTACATGCACGGAGGAAGTAACGTTAAAAAAAAAAAAAATCGTTTTGTTTTGGTCAAATCGGTTCGCTTTCCACCAGCTGCATTGAAACTGACGTTATCGGTGACTAGGTGTTTGAGGTTAAGATGACCAAAGTATCTCAGGCCCATGTCAACGTCCGCGTCTGCAACCCTTTGTGAACAGTGTTTTACGTTTATGTGACAGGCTTTCTGAAAAGCTGAGTTTGCACAACTGAGATTGCAGTCGGATAGACGTGAATCAATAAACTTGAATGTGCTGTCACTGGCATTTTGCACTCACTGGGTGTGTTTCTGTTTCAGGTTGACTCACCTTTGAATCTGAAGCATCCACATGACGTTGTGATCTTCATGAGGCAAGAGACTCGTGTTAACTACCTCAAGAAACTGGAGGTGTGTTTCTCATTCTGGTTCATCCCTCGAGTACATTTCAGTGTGTGCGGGGAAAGAGCTTGCTCGTTGTGACACCTGTCCTTTTTTTTTGTGCTTACTCGTCTTCACTGCTTGGTTGTCTTTGGTTATTGTTGAGCAGAAGCAGCTAGTGGCGCAGAAGATTCACATTGAGGAGAACGAGGACAGAGACACAGGGCTGGAGCAGAGACACTACAAAGAGGATGCAGACTGTGTCATGGCTAAAGTACCCCTGGGAGACCTGGACCTGTATGATGGCACTTATATCTCTCTGGAAAGCAAAGACATCAGGTACGCTCTCCTCAATAAGACATGCCATTGCTAGAGTTCTTGGTATCTCTACATTGTATTTTGGGAAGTAGTGAAGGCGCCATTTAAATCTTGCGTAGCCAAATGTATTATCCTTGAATGAGTGTGTCTTTTTTATGATTATGATGAAATGGTGCTCTCAAAGTGATTTTTTTTTCTCTCCTCCCTGTAGCCCTGAAGACTATGTGGATTCCCGGTCAGCTATGCCCCCAGATCTGGAAAAGCCTGACTGTGCGAAAGTGTTTGAACTACCTTATAGTGTCCATGCTTTCCAGCATCTCAGGGTGAGTAGAGGCCAAACTTGTCAATAGTTTGTTCAGAATAGAACAAGATCAGATTCAGAATCGGGTTTATTGCCAAGTACGGTTTTACACGTGCAAGGAATTTGCTTATGTGCATGGAAATCACACAAAAATAAAGTACTGTTTGAAATATAAATAAATAAAGATGAAGATAGAAAGATCTAAAACTGTACAGGAAAGATATTGAACCCTAACAGGAGTGCATTAATGTGATGCGTATAGACAGGGTGGGTTTAAGAGTCAGTGTCAGTCAATGAGGCCAGCTGCAGATTAAAGAAACTGTTCTTGTGGCGTGAGGTCTTGGTCCTGATGGACCGCAGCCTCCTACCAGAGGGAAGTGTTTTAAAGATGGCGATGACTCGTGATAATGAGTATTATCAAGTTGCTTTCATCACCCAGTGAATCTGTTGTTAGGATTTGAATGCTGACATAAACCTCTGATTGAGAGCGGGATACAGTCAAGGTATGATGTAACTATTATGGCTAGAAGTACTCCCCACCCTCAAATGTATGTTAAATTGAAGCTTAACAGAGTATATTTAATCTTTAGTTTGGTTGAGCTCACATGCCTTTTTACAGAAGCATTTGTTTACAGTTTCAATGGAAAATGATTCATAAATAATCATACACATACAGAAGAGAACGTCGTATAACCACAATGAGGGCTCACAGGTAAAACAAGGCAGATATGGGATCATTATCCAGATGGTTTTGAAGTATGGATAGTGTTTTGATTTGTTGGTGGTTTTGCAGATTTTCCTCATTAATCAGTGCACCAACAGCGAAATCAGTCTTATCTAGATCAGTGTGGTGCAGCCAGTCACTAGAGCATCGACCAGAGTTCAAGAGCACCAAAGATGAGATATAAGCTGGCCATTTTCCAGAAAGGCTTTGCAGATATATGAATACAGACAGGGAAGTCTAGCCAGTCTTATTGAATACAATGCAGTGGTGAGTATTGTAATTATCTCAGTAATGACCCTAAGAGCTTAATGGGAAATGCAGTCTGAATGCCTTAGTGTGGAGGCAGCTGCATGTCGATAAATCACATCCCAATAATCCAGAACAACTACTCTTACAGCTCTGAGGGAAACTGGTTTGCTTTCTGCAGCAAAAAGCTTTTTACAGTATCAAGATGGTGGGTGTGTGATCATTCAACTTTGTTTTATCAGGTCAGTTATGAAGATAATTTTAGTAATACAAATTGTCCCTGTGGAGTAATGCAAATCACTGTAATCTGTGTCTCTGGATCTCAAGAACAACTATACGATTTTATCTTAAGGTTGCATTCAAGTCCAACAACAATTTTATAGAGGAGGCCCCTGGATAAGGATTAAGGGGTAGTGGTGTGTTTGTGGGCAAGTAACAATAGATAAACTTAGTATTTTGTGACAGTCAAGAGTAGAATTCCAGGTCACTTTGCCACATTTCATTCAGTCGGCCATTTATTGTCTTTAATTGGTTAAACGAGTTAAGAGTACAATAGGGGTTCACCAGCACATCCTATTTATTTCTATATAGCTTTATAATTCTATATTGCAGAGCCTTGTGTGTGTGCTTTGGTAGTTTGCATGCTATACACCTAGTTGATGTATTGACTCGTCCCTTCTGTCTGTTCCAGGGTGTGCAGGAGAGGGCAAACTTGACCTCCCCACTGCTTTCTAAGGAGGATCCAATTTTTAGTTCATTGTCTCATAAGCTGGGCCGCAGTGTTGACGAGGTGGGCCATCGCGTCCATCAAGGCTTACTGAGGGTAAGAGCTGCATGTGCAACGTTCAAGACCATTGTTTTCTTCTGTGCAGATGTTGGACAAAAGTGTGGACTGGAATAAAACATTTATTTTTCTAAAAATAAAGTAAATACATAATATCTGCTAATGGTGACGCCAAGGTTTTAAGGCAGTAGTCAGTGTCCGTACAAGCCCAGACATATTAGAGACCTAAATTCTAACAGTTGGCAGTTAGTCCTTCGCACAAAGTTTTAAAAAAGAGTGCGTGTGTTTATGATTGTGTGTTTCAGAACTCATCGTCCTGGGTGCTGTACAACATGGCGTCATTTTATTGGCGTATGAAGAACGAGCCTCAGAAGGCAGTGGACTGTGTGGTGCGGGCTCTGCATTTCTCCCCAAGGTACAGTCAGGCTGGTCAGAAGGCCACTGCGATAGTACGCTGTTTATTGTGCTCGATACTGCTCACAGGTGTTGACTCTCACTCCCTGTGTGTGTGTGTGTTTGTGTGTGTGTGTGTGTGTGTGTTGTTCTTGTAGGCAGCAGAAGGATGTAGCCTTGGTCAACATGGCCAACATCCTGCACCGTGCCCATTTCTCAGCAGATGCTGCTATCCTTGCCCACGCTGCCCTGGACCTGACCTCGGATCTGTTTACCAGCCACTACACCTTAGGCAACATTTATGCTGTAAGTGAAAGAGGAACCCTTCCTCTGCAGTAGAGCCTTGTGTATTTAAACCACCGATTTACCATCTGGTTAACCATTTACTATGGTATTAACAGTTTAACAGGATCACAGCCTCAGTACACTCTCTTGCGTAAGCTCAATACCTTTTAATAATAAGGTGTGTCATTATATGTTTCCAGTGAATTCTTGCGTTAATCACGTATATTGGTAGAGTAGTTCACGTTGGACAAATAGACTTTGCAAACTAATTTCCATTCCTGTTCTTTATTTACTACTGTTGCTACAGTAACCCACAGGAGAGTGATGTGTACTTAAAGTCGTGGCAAACTTGTTGATTTTTGCTATCTGGAGTTGAGTTTCAAAGTTCCCATAATAACTTTCTGGTCAGTATATATTGAAGATATACTAGATACTAGTTTTCTGAATGTAAAGGTAATAACTCTAAACAACAACTCATATTTATTAGGGCTGTAACGGTTCTGA